ATTACATATTATTTATAATATGTATTTTTTACATATTATAATATTATATAATAATATAAAAACATAATATTAATAATTATATATAATTTAATATATATGTATATATATTTTAAATATATTCTTATAATAAATGATTAATATACTAATAGTATATTTGATAATATTAGATAATGTATATATATATATATATACCGTTGTTGCTGTATAGAAAACATTGGTAATTTTTGTTGAAAAACTAATAGAATTAATACGTGAACGATAATCAATGTTAATTAGTCTTCTTCCTCGATGCAAATCGGTCAAATAACTTCTCGGTTCTCGAACTAACAATAAGACTAATTTTTAATTATACTTTCTTCTATATACCTTTTCTAAGTTTCTCTCTAATCTTCTTTYATTATTATTATTTTTTTAATCCTCTTAGATTATCATCTTTTTTTAGCATAAATATAATATCACTTCCTACTTTATGGAAAAGGTCGACGATACGATTTATTTTTCCTTCATTCCCTTTGACTTCTCATTTTTTTTTCAACCTAGATTCTCAGTATAGTTCGATTAAAGTATGTTCTATAGTTATTCATAAATACATTCGCACATATATATACACACATTTATACATACATGCATGTATACTTTCCTATGTTACTGTATTCATATTGAAAAGAGTACGCGCTTCATTGATCGATCCGTTTGCAGGTAATATTACATATACATAGATATGAAATCGTATACGTGTAACAAATTCGAATCCGAGTTGTTCTTATTTATTTAAACATTTATAGAAACACAATCAAATTCAAAATTAACTAATAAAAAAAAAATAAAAATGATAGAAAAAAATCAAACACCAAATTCCCGACCGAATTTGATCTCGTTGATTTAAAGAGAGAGAGAGAGAGAGAGAAAGAGAAAAACAAATATTATTGATATTATATATGTAAGCATATATTTGATAGATGTGTATTTCATTGAAATCATAGAAAAAGCTATCAATTTTCTTTAGTACATTACTCTAGTATTCTACAAAAGAACGATGAAAAAGAATGTTTGTAGTCTTTAGAACTTTTAAATATTAATATATCTATCCAACTTCTTCCGTAGTCGTTTGCGTGAAACAAGTTTGTAAAACTGTGATAACGGAGGGCAGGGCTGATAACCGGAGATTAATATCGCAATTTCTTACATTTCTTTTATACTAATATAGTCTTTGAATTTGGTATTCTACCAAAAAAAATATATGTACATAAAAACAAAAAAATAGAAATATGCCAAAAAAAAATAAAAACAAAAATCAAATAAAAATCAGGATAGATAATACGATGAAAAAAACAACATCGGAGACATTTTCTTTACGATGATAAAGAAAATATCTATAAAATTTTGATTACAAACGACACACTATTAAGCCTATAAATATATAATACTAATCTATTTAGAGTCGAAGGTAAAATCGACCACAAATACTTGAATACATACTTAAAAAGCACGCACGTATGCATACATGTATGTACGAATACATATAAGACACATATATATTTACACTTCAAAAATTGAAACGATAACGTTAAAGTAGGAGTCTATAAACTTGCCCTCCGTTATCGTTGGTTAGCTTATGCAACACTTCGTCTTCACGAAGCCTATCTTTATCTACTACTCACGTTCCGTTTCTAGATTTCGTGTATAAAAGCGAACACATTTTTACCACAAAGTCAAACAAACATCTATCCCTCATTCCCCCTCTTTCTTTTTTTCTTTTTCAAAGCTCTATGGTCCATATTTTCCCTCTGCTGTATATAAATTAATGCGCATATCGGGTTTATTGGTTTATATATATAAATTAATTTAATAATATTTGAATTGAATCCCCTCTTTTTATGGTTGACCCTACTTTCCAGCTCTCACCACCCTCTCATTTTCCTCCTACCCTTTCTCTTAGATTTACCACCCCACCTTCTTTTACGTAACGCCATGCAATGTTCACTTTATCAAACTTACTTGTATTATATTTCACAAACTTTCATTATCGTTTTTTGTTTTTTTTTTGTATACACTCTCTTCCACTAGCCTTCATTTTGAAACCCCAATCTTTCCTAATCTTTTATTATATAAAATTATCGATGAAAGTTTAAACGATTGTTTAATTGTTGTGTTAGATTAATAATTGTTGTACCTATAATGATATCATTTCATATGTTCAAATATACAAAGATTAAAAATTCCGATTAAAGTGAAACGTATAGTAAGTTTATAGATGTATGTTATACACAGAAAACACACGCACATATAAATATGGTTATCGAAAATATAGTGTTATTCGATAAGATAGAAAGGTAGCCGACGTTCAAACATCGTACACGATCGATGTTAGATTACGTAATCGGTTTAAATTCAATCTCGCAATCTAATTTCAATAAATCGAGATCATTTTTACTATTGTTTGATTGATTTTTAATTGAAAGGGAGAAAACGATATGAAATATTTATGAAAAAAAAAGAAGGAGAATAATGAATGAATTAACGAATAAAAACAAATATTAATAATGATAAGGAAGAAAATTACAAGAAAAAATGAAAACAAAATTAAAAAATAAAAATGAAAACAAGACAAGAATGAAACAATAAAAAATTAATCACTATCTGTCTTTTTTTTCTTCAATTGCACTATTTTTATCTTTATCTCTTTTTAATTTGTTCAATTTGTTAATCAACTTTGTTTTTGAACACCTTTTCCCTCTCTTTCTTTCCTTCCTCTTTTTCCTCCTCCATTTTCAAAAAAAAAAAAAAAGAACAAATAGACAAGGAAAGTATTTTGTCGATGAAAATTTCACGATTAGAAACGTCAACCCGGCAAAATGTTTAGAATCATAGACAAAAAATATGAACGAAGTTGCGAACACACGGTGGTGGTGTATGCCACACTGATCACCCCCCAACAAACTCTCCTCTTTTCACTCTTCGATTTTCTTCAACACGAGCCCCGGCGACTGTGCGGAGCAAAACGATTTTCCTAACTCATCCCCCACCCTCGCTTGAAACCACCCTCCACAC